TTTTTTTTTTTTTTTTTTGCTTTTTTTCTTCTGTTGTTGGTTGATTGTGAAGCCAAAAAAAAAAAGAAAAGATAAAAAGAAACTAGAAATCACTAACAAGCACCAAGAGGTAGAAGACAGGCCAACGGTGATGCAGCAATAATAGTTATTGCAAAAGCGCTTCGCCAACAAGACAGTTCTCGAATACCCTTCAACAAAAAACGATGGTAGAGTTGGATGATGAGATAAGATAAACAAAAAAAAAAAAAGAAAATTTAAGTCTAAAACAAATTATCTGTGCTAATATTCTCAATAAAACGGTCATCAATAAGATTACAATCAACGCTTAAAAGTTGTTAAGGTTGAATTTTTTTTAAGAATTCAACGAACCCGTCAACAACATTTATCGAATACATTAAACAATAGTTTTCACTTGTGCTCTAATCAAAAACACACGCACATTCATAATGAACAGATCAATTCAGCTGACTGTTTAAATGAAAAAAAATTTACTGTTAGACCCATATCAAAGGAAAAAAAAGCAAAGAAAACAAAAAACATTCAGTGGGTGTACAGAGATATCAAACTTAACTAACTGCACACTAAATTTGCTGCTTTAGCTGAAGAAAATTCTGCAGTAAAAATACTTATATATTTTAGTGTAGACATTAAGCAGTTGTTGACATTAAAATTTGACCATAGTCTAAAGACAGTTATTTTACCTTAAAATTAAGTGTTAAAATTTGTTTAATAGTCAGTAAAACAAAATAAAACACAATAAAAACAGTAATAGACAAAAGTATAATTACCTGTTGAAAATGTATTGGACTATGCAATGAGGTTATAAATAGGTGGTAAAAGCCGGAAATAGCTGGAATAATTATAATTAAACAGAGGAATGCATAGGGTGCTAAATCTGTATATTTCATTGAATCTGTAAAATGCATTATTCCACATTACACACTGTATTGTGCCATACGAAGCCAACTAACTTAACTTACTGTTCACTGAAATTAAACCAATCGCAGAATACCGTTGATGAGCGATGTGATCAAATATAATCGAAAAAAAATTTTCCCATCTTTAACCGTTTTCTTTCTTCTTAATAAAACAAAAATAAATAAATGAAAGTTAGTGGTCAACAATTTCCGTCCCTTCTTCCTAAGACCAAAAAAAAAATTGTTTAAAAATGGAAAGGAAAAGAACAGAACTGTCCCTACTTACAGTTTCTGCCTTATATATCCAATCATTTGAATAATATATATTTTAACAAAGAATTCTCAAATGCTTAGCCGACTGACTCTGTTCAAAGACTTTCAAAAATCAACAGTGGGAACGCCAAAGACAAATAGATAAAGAAGAAAAAAAAAAGCTAAAAATTCTATTTCAAATTGTTTTCTGTTTGAACAGAAAATCAACTTTTAATATATCAGAATTTCCAAAAAAAAATTGATGTGTACCGAAAAAATTCAAATCTTTTTGCTTTCTTTTTATTCCGTTTTGAAAATTTGATAGCCTTCAACACCGATTGTATTGCAGATGTTTTGATCGAAAGGAAAAAAAAAACATCATCTGTTGTTTACTGTTTTGATATTTAAGCCTTCCTCTTTTTTTCCTTTGCACTCATTTTATCCTTCTATTTTTCCTCAACCCTTATGAAATCAAGTGGGACAGGTAAAAAAAAAACAGTAAATTTTGAAATTTCTTCAATAACTACAACAAAAACAACTATAGCCGATCAGAACAAGACTACTACCGCCATTATATCCAACTAACCACTACCACCACCACCACCAATAACAACAATAATAAAAGCTAAAGAAAATACTTCATTTCATCTTTTTTTTTTTTGCCGAAAAAAATTAATTTGAATCTTACTTTTTAGTGTGAACCATTTATTGCCGCAGTAACAGCAGTAACAGCGGTAATAGCAAAGACTATAATATAACTTTATGATAACTATAAAACGGTTACCAAAAAAAAAAGTGAAAAAAGAAAAAACTATTAATAAAGGTAGACAAAAAGTTTAGCTAATCATAGAAAATGAGCATAGGAAAAAGGCGGAAATTTAGCAGATCAGTTGTGGGCAAATGTCAGAATGACAGCCAAATTGTTATGGTGGTGGCAGCTGAGTGGAAAAAGAGTTGCAGCGGATACAGTTGGTTGAGCACCGGCGGAAGGAAGG